GAATGAGTCTGCTGGAATATTTGCTTTGGAGTGAATAGTATCAAAGAAGTTATTTTGCTGGTCCACACTTCCAAGTGACAAACACAACATGCTACAGCTTCTTAGTGACTACATGTACAACATGCCTGGTGTCACATCAGTTTTACTCCCATAGTGACGGCTCATTTTGCTCTCTCATTGTCCGATGTACCTCTGAATCAAAAACAAGCGAATGTAAACAGTGTTTCCCCTGCTTTTGCTCTTTTACGCTTCATTTCAAGGGGAAGTAGCTCATGTACTAGTGTAGGCAGGTTTTTATGACAATTTTAAAGAAAATGTCACAGAAAATATTTTCTGAAGACATGAATAAAATAAATGTGCTTAGAAACGTGCTGGAATACTGTGGTATTCACTCGCTCATTACTGGATGTGTGTGGGTGTGTTTGTGAAGTCACTTGTGAGTAAACAACAGGACGGGGGACGCAGACGATTACATTTGACATTACGTCAGAGGAAATGAAGTTTCCATGGCAGTGGGGTCGTGATGTGAAAACATGTTAACACAGAAACAAAGACAGCCTTTTTTACTAGCCTCCGAAAAATACAACTTTGTATTTACATATATATGTTTATATCAATTTTATATATTTTTCTAATATTATGTATTGGACAACAAACTCTGATGGGTGACCCAATGAAATGACGGCAGCAGCCGTGCCCCTTAGCTTATCTTGGTTTGACCTCCCTGATAAACCTCGATTATTGTGATGTTGTGTTACTGGTAAACTATAAGAATTACATAAACATAACCTGACAATATGAACACATCATGTTCACAACATGTCATTAGGCTTCACTCTATAAATATACTATTTTTTATTTTTTACTTTTTCCTGTTTTTTTACATTTTTCCTAATTTAGGGATGGTCCCTTGTCCAGTGATAAGAAGACCCAGTTAACAACACTACTAATACAAAGTTTAGTCAATAAATCAAGAACATCAGCCAAATAAGTCTCCACCAGCCGTCAGCATTAGTTATGAATAGACATTTATTAGTTATATTTGTATATGTACACCGAAGGTACAACATTTGATATGTAGAAACAGACTTGTGAATATCATAGACCGAGGAAAGAATATTTTCTTTTTTCTTTTTCTTTCTATTTATGCTCTATAGTGTATTCCCCCCACATATTGGCTCTGTGTTTACATCAGAATAACATCTTTACATAGAAGGAAGCCCTAGAAAAGCAAAGTCACCACAGCGAGTTGCAGCTAATCGGCTCCGCCTCCAGGTTCCCTCTAGGTTTCCTACTGGCGTTTTTGTTCAAATCTGTGTCGGAATCTATTTATCTATTTTGTGCCATTAACTCAGTACCTTAGAAGACCTTTATGTGCATATGGTTCATGGACGTAGAGTAGATAAAAAAATGACTGGAGTCAAGGACTAGGTGGCGCTAAGTCAGTCAGCCTGCGATGTAAAGAATACAGTATCATTATGTGGAAGCTCACAGAGACTTCTATGACCTAGATATTGATGCGCTGCAGTTGTAATGCACATGCAGTTAACACAAATGTTCGAGACCCGGGCTGGATTTTTTACCACTGAAGTGACAGAAATGTACAGCTGAGTCACCTGAGGAACGCCGCTGTGAATTCTAACAGGCTACATCGTGTATATTCACTCACTTAGCTCATTTTCACTTCATGTTTTTCAGTCCTCATTTTGTACAGATTATTACCCCACAGATGATCACGAGAACCCCCCCCCCCCGTTTCTCAGAAGAAGCCCCCGTTCCTGCTCTTTGTCTTTCTTACTCCTTTTTGTGACTCTTTTTTAAAATCCCTCTCCTTATCATGCAAACAGTGTTAATACAGGATTATTGTAATGCTGGTATATTCTGCATTGCCACTTATCAATTACATATTTATTTAGGTACAATGAAAATGAATGCACAATGCTTAGATCCTCATTGAACAAACATTCAAAACGCTTACATTAGATACAAAAAAAAATCTTTACATATTCGTGTGTGGCAAGAAAATCAGATGACGAGTTAACCACTATAAGAGAATTAAAACAAACAAAAAAAAAAACAACAAACGAGCAATTTATTACACAGTATTTTCTCTATACATTGTCTAATCTACGTTTACTAAGGACACAGATGACGTCTTTCTCTACAGGGTTACATTTAAAATGTCACAGCAATGAAACTATTCCTACTATTTAATGTTTCTCATGAAAAAAAAGAACAAAACAAAAACAAAAAGAAAACAAAGGTCTATTGACTACAATATATACAGAAAGTGCAATGAGGCACTTTAACATGTCATGCTTGTAGGATAGTGGGACAAAAATAAAAATCCATGCTTCTAAATCTGTGAGTGTGAACGTGACATGGTCCAACACCTAATCCCCATCTGTGACGCCATGTCTCTTTTGGAGCTGTTGTTTTTTCTGGGAAATTATGAGGTCAGACTTCTAATATATATATATACACACACAAATATATGTTCATACACACATATATGTCTATACACATATATGTATATATATCCACATATATGTATATACACATGTATATATTTATATATGTATAAACATATATTTATATATGTGTATAATGTTCTATTTATACGTATGCTTTGTATAGTACGTATGCATCCGACTGCACAGTGTGTACAGCAGATCAGATGCTTACTATGTCGTAAAAAAAGCACATTTTCATTGCAGCTTAAAACAGCATTTAAATGGCAACCAGAAAGACACAGGGAGTTGAGTATCCGACAGTGTTAACATGAAATGGTAAAAAGTTACTGGCAGTTGCTTAAAGTAAACATCATTCAAGGCAGGGTTGTCCCTAAGCGCAAAAACAGTGACGCGTGGTTGACACGCTGCACAAAACTTAACAGCAGAAGTCGAGCGTGGTCGTATTTCAGGCTTCTAGGTCATATGAGGGCATAATGTTGTGTTATTACCTGAAGTTTGGCAACATTCTGGCCTTTTTTTTTTAAAACATCCCCTGCTTCATTTTCTCTCTGCTATGGAAACCCAGCTGCAGCATCAAGGGTTTGCAGAAACAGTCTTGAGCTCTGGTGGCTTAAGCGTATGATCAATTATCAACTGATTTTTGTCAATTTCAACTCAGTGGTGGACTGAAAAACACTCCCTGATATTTTTATCGAGTTGATGGATGGAAGTGTGTTTTACATAAATTTGAAATTGTTAAAAACCAATCCGTTTTTTTTACTCATAATTTGGGATGACCTTCACATTGTCTTGAAAACAAGACATCCTGTGCTTTTTCAATAAAATATGTGTGCAGTTTCTACGGTGTGTGCTTAGAATTGAATACTCCTCTCGTATCGTATCGTGGTACTAATGTACGCAGTTACTCTGTAGTCCACAGATGTGCTATTAAAGGCTGTGTTTTTGTGGCAGTAAACATTTACGTAAACGGACATCTCTCTCTGTTAACAAGTGAAACACAAACGCCTGAGTGTCTCTTCTCTAATATCCTTATTTCTCATTGGAATGTGACTCATTTCTTTATGAGCTGTCTGGCTACATTGATGACTTAAGAAAAAAACCTGACATTTTGGCTTCATCTGTGCACGGCTGGTTTTGTGCTCATTACCAATCGACTTTTGTGCTTAATTTAATACCGGTATTTTGAATACCCATTAAAGTGTGTAATGTTAATCCCACTGATGCTAATTTAGTGGTGTGTGTGACCGGTGTCTGGAGGAAATTTAAAACATCTGGGATTAACTTTGACATTTAGGCCAGTGCTTTAAGCTTCGATGCTTTTACATAAGTTATTACGATGAAAAGTTAAAGTAAGCTGGGATGTGAACCTGGTAAAATAGACCTGAAAAAAACTGTGTTTTTGTAATGGAGGCATTTTAAAGGCCTCTGTGACTTGATTGATCTCTGCTTGTTTGGTCCCTATACTTTAGTTGGTTGTGTTTTTTCTTTCTCTCGCTCTCTCTTTCTCACTTTGTTTCTTTCTCTCTTCGTTTCTTTCTCTCTCTCTCTCTCTCTCTCTCTCTCTCTCATCAACACACACTGGTCTTTGTGTTCACGCACACTTCACTCCCGTCTCCTTACCTAACCTCAACTGTGACAAATACACATCTAATCTAATCCTATATCCAAACTAATTCTCTCCGGTTCTGTGGGAACCTGTAGAATGTCCCCACGAGGACAAAGGGACAAAAATGTCCCCACAAGTAAAGTTATGTCAGGAACCCACACATACACACAAAACATACTTGGTGGACTCGAAGGAAAAATAAAAAAGTCCCTTTTCTTTATATTAGTCAAAAAAAGAGGAAGAAAAACAAAAACGTGTGCTCTATGTTGTCATTTGTGCTTTATAATTCCTTCGTATGTGTGTGTGTGTGTGCTTTTCCTGTCTTATTATTGGTCTGATATTGGTCTTTCTGCCTCCTGACCTTTGTGAGTCAGGTGACTTCTAGGAATGGTTGGTTTGATTTGGAAAATGCATGTATGGAAATGAAAAGCGGTGGCTGTTTGAAGGGCCCTTTCCACTGAACAGAATGTCTCTCCACCTGTGACGTTCCAGTGATGAATCTTTCGGATTCATTTGTCAGAGAATGTTAAGGCATCCCAGGTTTTCCAGCCACGCGTTATCTCATCCCATCACCTAACGTCAGCGTGT